GAACAGGATCATCATTCCCTTATCCTGAACCTGGATAACCCTCCCGAACCGGATCACCATTCCCTTATCCTGAACCTGGATAACCCTCCCGAACAGGATCATCATTCCCTTATCCTGAACCTGGATAAACCTCCCTCCCAACCAGAATCATTCCCTTATCCTGAACCTGAATAAATCTCCCGAACAGGATACTTTCCTTATCCTGAACCTGGATAACCCTCCCGACCAGGATCATTCCCTTATCCTCACCTTTGACTAATCTCCCTACCCCGACGGTTCCCTTATCCGTAACCTTATCCGTAACCTTATCCGTAACCTTATCCGTAACCTTATCCGGAACCCTGGTTAAGGATAAGGTTACGGATAAGGTGACTTCATTTCCCCACCATCGACTTCGTGATAGGTTAATATTTACCACGAAGACGATGGAGGGGAAATGACGTAATCTTCCAATGGTGGTATTAGCACCAGCGGCAGACAATTTCTTCTGACATGGGTGTGAGCGAGAGTGTCAGTGGAGGAGGGGCAATCAACAAGTGCGGGGGTGGGGGGTGGGGGGGTTTGGGGGGAGGTGGGGAGCACAGTCTCGAGACAGTTGCAGATGTTCGAGTGATGATGGTGATTAAATTATTTATTGTCTAATTTCTACATTAAAATTCAAACTATCAATAATTATTACTCTCGAGGCTCTCAACTTGTGCTCTCAATCGGATGTTGCTCCTAGTCCCAGCGGTTTCCTGTGACCCCAGTCCCAGTCCCAGTCCCAGCGGTTCCGTGATAGTCCCAGTGGTTTATGTTCGTCCCAGTTCCAGTTCCAGTTTCAGTCCCAGTCCCAGTCCCAGTCCCAGTCCCAGCAGTTCTGTGACAGTCCCAGTGGTCGCATGTTGGTTCCAGTCCAAGAGGTTTCATTGCAGGCAGGCCCAGTGGTTCCGTGTTGAACCCAGTACCAGTCCCAACGGTCCCATGTTGGGCCCAGTTGCAGTCCCAGCAGTTCCATATAGAGAGAGATTGCGGTCGATTATCGCACGTGCACTGTCCTAACGCCACCATCACAGTCTCAGTCTGGGATTCTCACACTAGGACTTCTTTACTTCTTTACGGACGGAATTGCGGTCAGATGCATCCAGGTCCATCCGTAAATGTGGCCAGATACATTTAGAATAGAGCTAGTGTGAGCACGCCCTCAGTCTGGGATACTTCACTTTCTGCTCGTTTGGTTAAGTGGACTGACTGTCTGCTGCTGTTTGCAAAAGTGCCCCTGGCTGGTAGCTGAGAGGCATTTTGTGCTCTGATAGCTGCTCTGCCAAATATGCCCCTGCGAAGACCGGCTCGTTATACCAAAAATGCCCTTCGTATGCCCACTCAGCTCTGCATTTTTACGTTATCCGTTATTTATAACAAGTTTCAGTAGCGGATAGCCGGAAAAAAAAAAAACAAAAAAAAAAACAAACTGGGAACAAAGGGGTGCTGTGAGGTGGGCATGAAGTTGCTGGAAAGCTTCTATCCTGTCTCTTATACACATCTAGATGTGTATAAGAGACAGGAGCAGGAGAGGGTTTAGGGTTCAGGAGAGGGAAGGGGCGAAAGGGGAAAGGGGTTGGGAAGTATAAGTTGAGGGTGTGAAAGGGAGGGGGACTAGAGGAAAAGCAGTAGTAGTAGTAGTAGTAGTAGTAGTAGTAGTAGTAGTAGTAGGAGGAGGAGGAGGAGGAAGGAGACGAGGAAGGAGGAAGGAGGAAGGGCCGCTGCCATGGCGCAAACACTGGGTCTGCATATGGGTTTTTGTGGATTGGATAGAGGCTGCATTTGGGACAAAATAACAATTGCGTACGGTTCGGACTTGTTCGGCTCTTACTTGGACTTTGTGACGCCGGAAAAGGCACCGGTCGGCAGGCACGGCAACGCGCAGCAACCGGGGGTCGTGTTTCACCCTCTTGATCTGATTTTACCGGACCGTCATGGTCCACATGGTTATTATTATGGCTCTCCGAACCGTCGACATGAGCGCCGGAACGGTCGCAAACCAGGGGTTGGGGTTGGTTCCAACTCCCACACGCTTTGCTGCAGGTGTCAGGACAACTGTCTGTTGCTGGAAGAGATGAAGGGGGCTGGTGCATTGTGCGGGGGCTCCCGCTCATCGTCGTCAAGGATGAAGAACCGCCATCAATGTCATGACTGTCCTGCTCCACCTACCTCGTTGGAATCCTCTCTGTCTTCTTTGTCACGAAGGAGACATCTTCTCAACAGTGGTGCTTGTGCGTGTTGTCGTCGACGCACAGTTTCTAGTTTAGGTACTTTGAGAGCAAAACCAACAGGAACAGAAACAGGACCAGGAATCAGAACAGAAACAGGAACAGGAACAGGAACAGGAACAGGGACAGGAGGAGGAAGGAAAATGGGAACAGGAACGAGAACGGGAACAGGATTCGAACCAGGAAGGAGAAGAGCTGGATTGGTATTGTGTTCTGCTGGATGTGGACAAAGGGAGAAAGTTTGGTCGCGGCCGCGGCCATCTACGTCATCACTGAAGCAGTGTCAGTGTCCTGGCGGGGGGTCATCTTCTTCTAGCAGTTACTCGGCGTCCGTGTCTTCATGTGCGACACCATCGTTTAATCGTCATTTCAGCGGTGCGACCTCTTCAGAGGAATCCTCGATTGTCGGTGAGGGAGATCGCGAGCTTTGTGTCTCGGAAGTGTCGGACGGTGTGTGCAGTGAAAAGGGAGAGGAGGAGGTGGTAAGCAAAGCCAACTCTGTGGAAGATAGAAAAGAGGAGGAGGAGGAGGAGAAGGAGGAGGAGGAGAGAGGAAGCGAAGCAAACTCTGTGAAGGGTGGTACAGAGGACGAGATGGGAAGTCAAGCGAACTCTGTGGGAGAAGCTAACTCTGTGGAAGATGAGGGGGGATTGAAAGGGGGGAGAAGGAAAGGGAGGAGGAAGAGACTGGTTCGTGCATCTGTAAACGGAAGCAGGTTACAGTCAAAGTCGGAGTCAAAGTCAGAGTCCAGGTTGGAGTCAAAGTCAGAGTCAAAGTCGAACGGAAGCTTCGTTGAAAATCCGGCGGGTGCATCAGTGTCGTTGACTCGTCGTCGAGGTAGGAGGAGAAAGGGTGTGGTGGTGGTTGTACCTGTGGCTATGGTGAGTAATTGTGATGAAGGTGGTCGAGAGGTGGAAGGGCTGCTCTCGAGGGAGGCTTGCGATTATGAGAGAGACGATACCTTTGTTGGTGCCCGCGGCGTGAAACAGCTTGATCAATTGGAGCATGGCCTTGAGAAGAAGAAAGTTGCTGGACTTCAGTTAACGGACGGCCAAGAAAGTTACCTTCGTCTTGAAGTAACGGAAAGTCGGGAAAAGGACCACCGCCTTGAGCTAAGGGAAGGTCAAGAACAGTACCGTCATCTTGAGCTAATGGAAGCTCAGGAAAAGGACGACCGTCTTGAGCTAACGGAAGTTCGGGAAAAGGAATGTTTTGAGGTAATAGAGGTTAAGGAACATGACCCTGTTGTTGCCGTTACCCATGTCAGTGGCGTTGACTTGGCGGCTTGGCCAGAAGCAGAAGTACGCCTACCTTCTTCCTCATCCGTCCTGGCGATGATCCGAGCTCTTATGGCACGTTTCGCTCTCTCACAGACTGAGGCAGAGCGGGTCGCCGCCCGGTTTCCTCCGGAGGTCCTCAAGAATGGACCACTGTACCTGGACCGTACCTGGTCCAAACTAGAGGACCTCAGGGTAGAGCTTGGACTGCCCTCCTGCGATTTCCAACATATGGTGAGTTTGTACCCTGGGTTGATGCATCTGGACGCCCCCGAGAATGTGGCGTCGATCGTCGCGTTCCTGAGAAGCTTGGGGCTCAACGACGATGAACTGTCGAAGATTATCGTTTCCTGGCCGCAAATTCTTACCCTTGACTTGTTCCGAGGACCCGCCGAGGTTCATAAAACCCTTCTTGAAAAAGGATTTAGCGAGGCGGAAGTCAAAAGGGTCATTGTTGGCAACCCTAGGCTCTTGGGGTACCCATCCGATAGCAAGATCAGACCTAGACTAGACTTCCTCCTGTGCTTGGGCTTGAAAAGAAACTTGGGGGAGATTTTGGCCAAATGGCCCCACCTCCTAGATGACGGGGTCGAAGAGGCCCTTAGGAAGCGCATCGATGCCCTTCTCGAACAAGGGATCGCCACCTCAGACCTCGGCACGGTGTTTTCCCGGTTCCCACAGTTGTTGATGTATGGCAGCGCTGAGGCTTTGAGGACTAATGTGGATGTCCTGCGGCGGCTCGGGATACCCTCGTACAAACTGAAGAAGATGATGATTGCTTTCCCCCAGTTGTTCGCGATGTCGCCGAAGTCAGAACTGCTGGCTTCGAAAGTCACCTTTCTCCGTAACATAGGCGTTCGCGAGCAAGACGTTGGGAAAGTTCTTAGCCGAGAGCCGCAGCTACTCGGGCACAGCATCGAGGAGAACCTCCTGCCTACGGTCGCGTACTTGGAGGAAGTCGTCGGTGTTCCACGGTCACGAATCGGGCAAATGGTGACCCGATTCCCTGCACTTCTCGGACTCAGCACGTCCAACAACCTTCAGCAGAAGATAGAGTTCCTCCACAAAGAACTTGGGTTCGAAAACTCAGACGTGGGTCGGGTCGCCTGGAAGTTTCCTAATTTGTTAAGCCTCAGCGTCAATCGGAACTTGCGACCGACCGTAGAGTTTCTTGTTCGGGAAGGTTTCACGCGCGAGGAAGTCGCAGCCATGTGTAAACGGTTCCCCCCGATACTCGCACGCGGCATCGACTCGACACTCGCACCAAAGCTCGCTTTCCTATTCGATGTCATGAAGCGCTCAAAAGCCGACGTCGTTTCCCACCCCCAGTTCTTCAGCTATTCCTTAGATCGACGGATCAAGCCCCGCTACGAAAAAATCCGTGACGCGAAGAGAAGGTACAGCCTCACGTATATCTACAGTTGTAACGACGAGACTTTCCAAGCAAGGATGGAAGCACGGCTGCCACTAACTA